GCCCACCCTCTCCCTGGAGACCCCAGGCAGTCCCCCTCCCCACTTGCTCTGTGCAGGGGGTGAGAGCAACATCCTGGGACCTGACCTCTGCCACCTCCAGCAGGGCTGTAGTCTGCATCCACGCCTTGGCTTTGGGAGTGGAAAATATTCTCCAAATCTGCCATGAAGGGAAAAAGATATACATTAACTAACTATATGTAGAAGTAGTTAAAATTAAGATATTTAACTAACATTAATTTCACTTTTTACATGTGACTCCCAGATTTTAAATGGTTTGTATTGAGCAACACTGCTGGAGTTCTGGAGCTCTGCCAGCTCAGGAGCGCATACAGAGGGACTAAGGAGGGGCATCTTGAAACCCCGGGGTTGGTTTCCTTACCATCAGCACCCCTCTCAGACGGCCTTTTCTGTGAACTCTGCCACTGTACACATTACTTCAGGAAGCTGTTTTCTGAGATACAGTCTCTCTAAGCAGTTCAGGCTGCCAGGGCCCCACCCGTGACACCCAGGCCCATAGGGCACGGTGTGAGGGGCTGCCCTCCGGAGCCCCAGCTGGCCGCTGCGGATACAGGGGTGGGAGGGGCCGTGCCACAGCACCCGGGAATGATCACCAGGGCCATTCGAGGCAGACAGTGACCACGACACAGGGACGGGACACAGCACGGCAAATGTTTTAAATTTAGCTCCTAAAACTGCGTTACCACTCTAGATATTTACAAAAACTAACCTGATTTTAAAATAAAAGCAGAAAGGATCCAATTTGAATCTTCCTTTTTAGTAAGTCACACTGCTTTGTCCACAGGCTTTTCTTCTCTCTCTTTTTCTTTTCTTTTCTTCATAAGCCATTTTGGGTATTTACATTCAGCTACATCCCAGCACACTACTTTATTACTGTAAAATATTTACTAGCACATACCTCAGTATACAGTGAATATGTCACTGTGCGGAGTCGGTGCATGTGCCTGGCATACCTGCTCCCTTCATTTACCTTTCCCTCCCTTCTGCCCCCTCCCTCCATTCCTAGGTTCCCTTCTCACCTACAAGCTGTCTTCCTCCCTGTTTCCTGTCATTTATCTCTGACTTTGCTCTTCAAATGATTTACACATTAGATTTCTCATATAAAAGAGCGTGTGATATTTGATCTCCTGTGTCTGATTTATTTCTCTTACCGTTATTGTCTCTAGGAAACAGTTTATTTTGAGACAGGGTCTCACTAAGTCACTAAACTGCCCAGGCTGGGCTCAGACTTGCAGTCCTCCTGTCTCAGCCTCCCAGAGTGCCATGGTAATGATCTGGCTTACAGTTTTTTGGCTTGATGTCTTCACATAGCATGCTAGATGAAGCATCAGTCTGTGTTTCTGGGAACACTTCATGATCCTCATAGTTACTGATCTGAAAGCACTTTACACGTATTTGCAGCGATCCTGACATCTGCTCCTGCTGTTAACACTCTAGTCGTGTGGAAACAGTGAAAGCTGTTATGTTTATATTTTTCCTTTCATTGTGTAAATTATTAAAATAGAGGCACTGCAGTTGCTAACAAAGATACAGGGATGTTTGTTTCTTGTTGATAAATGTTTCCACACTGCTCTCCAGTTAAAGCCAGGAGCAGCCATAGCTCGAATTCATTGCATCTTCAGTTCAAGGCAACTTCTTATTATTTTATTTTCGGTGGAACTTACATCTTTTTTTAGTTTCTCTGTTTTGAGTTTCTCTTAGTTACTTTTTTTGTTGCTGAGACAAAATACCCAACACCCACAAGTTAAGGGAGGAAAGATATATTGGGCTCACAGGTTTTAGTCCATAGCTGACTGGCCCCAGGGCAGGGCGGCATGGCACAGAGACATGGCAGAAGAAAAAGAGTTCATGGCAGGCAGAAGGCAGCAAGAGCAAGCAAGCTGCCCAGCCAGCGACAACCGAGCAATCCTCTTTCTGTCCCTTATATCTTATGAAAGCTACCCACCCTTAGGGCAGGTAGCACTCCACCCTTAATCCTCCCATCACATCCTCCATCCCAGCATCACACACTCTAGATCCAGCCACCTTTGAAAAAGCCCCACCTGTGGGCACATGAGGCTTTGGAGGGATAGCCAGACATAGCAGAGTTCCAATTACTATTTCTTTCCGGCATCTCATAGATGTGATCAACACTCTTTGAAAGAAGACAAATACTTTTAAATAAAAGTATGGTTCTATTTTGTGTGGCTGGGCTTTAAGCATCCAATACTGAGGGTAAACATTTTCAAGTCAGTCAATTTCTATATCCCCTGCATATTTCTGTGCATAACCCCCCATCTCTGCAGTGACGGCTCAAGGTTCACCCCTCAAGGCTCAGGGGACACACCACTCCTGCCCTGAGCCATGCAGGCCTGGCTGGTGTGGTGCCAACCCCTGGAGGTGGAGCTGGTGTGGGTTGCCAGGGCACCCAGAAATGCTGCTCTCACCCTTGATGCTCCCCTACCCAGCGGGCCCTGAGGGACCCTGACTGTGGTCCAGGGGACCCGGCTGTTGTGCACCTGTGCAGGACCCAATGCCTCTCTGGCTACCAGGTGTGTTTGACCCAGAAGCAGTGAACTCTGACACGCAGCAGGGCTAAGGCGGCCTCAGTCCGCAGGCTGGACAGAAGCTGTACTTGCGTGGCTAGCACTTCGGGGCCAAACACACCACGCACACCACAGATCACATACAAACTCTTGCCACACACAACACACACCGCACACATCATGTATGGGGTGTGACTGAAACATACAATGAATGTTTAAGAGAAATTTATCTCAGTAAACGTATTGCCACAAACCCCTCACATCCTACCCTCCATCATCCTTGCCACTTTCTGAAGCAGCTCGGGAGCCCCATTTTGTGTCTTTGTGTGGCTGCCTTGATGTCCTGAATCAATTCAAAGCGCTATGGCAGTTTCTGTCAAATAAAAACATGATGATGTGCCATGGTCCACCTTATTCACTGGATCCAGCACTGTATGACTCCAGCTCTCCCCAAAGTCACTCTGACTGTGGATTTCACACACACCCCATACACAGGCACCTCACACACAGACTCACAGATCTGCGTGGCCCTGAGGACGGGGTCCTGTGCGTGTGGACTCCTCGAGTTGATGAACCTCAGCCACACCCTCCCCAGATGTCTCCAGAGAGCAGTTCATTAACTCAGCGTCAGCGAAATCCCTAAGTGCTCCCCGTCTCCCTGGTTTCCCCAGAAGCAAGGAAGGCGCCATCACCGTCGAGGACGAGCTGCTCATCACCGGACGCCTCCACTGCACCCTGGCAGAACCCGACGGGAGCCTGGACGGTGAGCGCATCTGGGTTGGGGCTGCAGCACTGCAGCGAGAGGGTTGAGCTCCCTTCCTTGTGGAGGAGGAGGAGGCTGCCGCCAGGGGGAGCTGGACCAGGTCTGAGTTCCAGAGAGCACCGCCCCTGCTGGGCTGCCTCTGCCCTGGGCTCCCTGCAGCACCAAGATGTCTAAACAGCCCCTTAAAGTGTGCTCTGGAGGCAAGGATCTGTAATCTCTGCCCTCTGGGAGGCTGAGGCAGGAGGATCAGGTTTGAGCCCAACCTTGGTAACTTGGCAACTGAGTGAGATCCTGACTCCAAGTAAACAGTAAAAAAGTATTTGAGCTGGTAGCTCAGTGTGAAGGCCCTGGGTTCAAAATAATATTCATTTTGTACATTAAAAAGAATTTCATACACACAGAATGCTCTAGAATGCCCATATGTGTCAAAGAAACAGAATGGCACAAAGATACTCAATGTCTTTTTATTTTTTATTTGAATCTTATGTAGTTCAAGCTGGTCTTGGATTTTTGATCCTCCTGCCTCAGCCTCCCAAGGTGAGGCATCGTAGGTATGCACCACCACGCCTGGCTTTGAGCAGCTGTCTTTATGAAGTCTTGCCACTCTTTCCTTGCTAGTGTATGGAACCTCTCAGTGGGAAAACACAACTCTTGTCCACGGCAAACCCATTTATAACAGCACCCAAGGAACACGAGTCTCTTGACCTCGGGGGAGCTATTACTGTGAGGCCAAAGCAAATGCAAATAATTTCGGTAAACAAGTGAGAAGTGTTTCAGACCAGGAGCTATGCTCTGTTCTCCAAGACACACAGGAGCAAAAGTAGAAATTGGCTATGGTCAAGCCCTGGAACCTCAGCAGTCTGAAGACAGAATTCTCTGTGTAATGAAAGGTGATGTTAGGCCCCAGGGATATGCAGATTACAACTGGCCTGACTTACGAACAACTTGGATTATGGCTAGAATTTAAGTTGTAACTTACAAAGGCTGGAGTGTGCTTCCAGATGGTCTCAGATACAGATCTAACCCTTAGAGCTCTGGGAGGAGCCTGACAGCATCCTTCCTGTGTGGGTTCACTGAGAGACCCTGGGCCAGTGTCTCTGAGGACACTGAGGTCTGCCTGTGTGCAGGAGAGATGATGAAGGCTCTGTAGAGGCGCCTGAGCCTTAACTGACAAACTTGAGTTAACTAGCCCTCGGGGGCTTGTTGAGTTTGTAAGCCCAGGTCCACTGTAACTGTAATCAATGACACTCCCTGGATTGGGGAAGCCACCAGTGCAAGGCGGGTCTCCCTGTCCCAGGGCGGTGGAATGCCCAGTGCCAGTCGTGACTGTGCCTGTTGCTTGCAGAGATGGAGGACAGCTACGACACGGACTCCAGCTCTGCCACCGGCTCCCTAACCAGTGTGTGGGGCCACCGTGTTCGGGATACGGTCCCGGTGACGTTCATCGGGGAGGTTTCAGATGACCCACTGGACTGGGGGCTGTCGTCCAATAGGAACAACAATGCGGGCTCTTCCGACATGGGCAGTGTGGCCCACAGGGGACCCTGCCTGCCCAAAGGCGAGTCGGCAGGGCCTGCGGGCGGCAGGTGGAGTCCCCCGGATGTTGGCCCAGGAGCCCAGGTTGGGAGCCAGCCTGGAGCGACGCCAAAAGCAGCGAAGCTTCCCGCGAGGGCCCCGGGTCTGACAGAGCCGGGGCCCCACCTACCTCCCACTGAGCGAACCGAGGCCCCACCGAGAGTGGAGCAGGGCAGTGACCCGGGGCCCCAGTCGTGGAGCCGGCTTGGCCAGCCTGCAGCTGGGAGCTTGGGGCGGAAGCCCGGGCTCACCACATACCGGATCGTACCCGCGCGCCCCGAGACGCGCTGTTACGATCGAGGTGCAGCTCTGTCCACCGGAGGCCTGGAGATCGACGAGCTGGGGAACTTGGTGAGTGCACGCGGAGCCTGTGCTGCCCACTCTCCGGCCTCGCCCACCTCACCCGGGGTGGACGCCCAGACGCAGCCGCTGGGGAAGGTGAAGGAGTTCTGGAGGCGCGGTGAGAACGAGATGGCGCGGAGCCCGCCCGCGGGGCTCCCGGCAGCGGGGGGAACCCCCACCC